CTGCCACAGTGAGCGCTTTTCTCTCAGACCATATACACACTCATCTCTGATCTTGCTCAGATTTGGAAGCATCACCAAAAGCGAACGCATCCAGTTAACCAGATGTCATTAGCCTGTTGACCAAGTGATCAGGTGCTAGTAGGTACGAGGAAATTCTTTGTTTCGTACGTTGTATTACCATGCACGCACAGGGGATGGGGAATGAAACCTTGCTATATGTGCTGACGTGTTTTTTCTACAGTCGTAAGTGTACGTTTACGCAACACGTTCACACCTACACGCGACGGACGGCACAACTGAACATAGACACGCGGGACCGAGCGCTGCGCCGTGAGAGAAATACTCCTGGGGATTCTTTTAGACCGGGAGACGCAAGAGAGAGAGAAAGAGGATCGAGGATGAGAGCAAATGAGAGAGAAAGAGGGCGAAGAGCAAATGAGAGAGTAGATAGGCCGAGAGCAAATGAGAGAGAGAGAGAGATCGAGGGAGAGAGCAAATGAGAGACGAGAGGCGCGAGGCAAAAGTTAATGAGAGAGAGGAGAGAGAGAGGACAATCGAAAGAGGGTCAAGGAAAGAGCAGGGGAAGAGATCGAGGGAGTGGAGCGTCGCGCCGACGAGCGAAACAGAGGGAGAGAGAGTGGGAGAGGCGAGTGAAAGATAAATAGATTAGACAGAGGAGACTGAGAGAGCTATAGCGACAGATACACGGCACGAACCGCGGCGCACACGGAGGCAGAATACGAATCATATACATAATACATACTACGTATACATATTATTTTATACCTAATGCACATTACGCAATGGATAATCTTTGATACGCTATATACATATATTACGGTCGTATAAGTAGATATTAGTAGTATACGGCCCGCTGGTATAACTCTTCGCACATGCACGACCACAACACACACACCTTATATAAAGATGGTCATGCACGCGCGCGGTGCGCGCCATGTGTGTCGTTTGGTTTGCGTGTGTGTGCACTGCTTTTTTGATTTGAATAATATAGTATAGTATATATATTATCATCCATTAATGACAAAAATATATATATGTAGTAAAAAAGTATGTAATATGTATGTTGTATGTAATAAAAGATTAGTAACACACACACATATATATATATATATTATATATAAATATATATCTAAGTCTGGATGCTTGGGTCCTACCACTGCGGTAGAAGTGCTCACATGCATTAGGTTAAGCAGAGCGTAATATATTGTAAGTCTGTAGATAATTAAAGCACAAGACATCACTTTAGCTGTTACTCTAAGTTTTACAGCTTAGCGTCGATCATCAGACAACTTTAATGAATAATAAACCTGGTATGGCTTCCATAAGCTCTATATAAACATGAATAGGCGCTATTGTTTTATTATCTAGTTGATTATGTGTATCTAGTAGTCTAGTACTATATAGCTCGCGTACGTTGACCTGCGGAAACGATGTGCCTGGCCATATGTTACAAAGTCAGTAGGACTCTATAATTTAAACGGAATTGTTCTGACTTCGTATATTGTTGTTCGACTTTTAACTCCAATATCGCGTCATTCATGTTTATTATAGGTTATGGAATTATACAATGTTTAATATTCATTAAAAGTTGTGCTGATGATCGCGCCAAGCGTAAAACTGTAGTAAGCAGCTAAAAGTGATGTCTTGTCTTTAATTGATCTAGGCAGACTAGCAATGTATATATATATATACTATATATATAGCTATATATGTTACTGAATCTAGCTATGAGGTTAATGCCGCTGCAACAGTAAATGTTGTAGTTCACCATGGTGCCTTTGTGCTGTAACAATTTATAACATGCCAACGTCAACCCCGTAAACTATTATTAAAAATAAGAACCCTTTGTAACTATAACAGAGATGCCATACCACTTTATCGAGCAAACTGTAGCTGAAGGATATCTGACGTCTGTAAGTCCGAGTGGTCGACAGCAGTGACCCGAGGTATCTAGAGGGGTTCGGGGCTCCGCTCTGGGAAAAATTTTGATTTCCGAGATGGCCAATTTCCACTGCATTCTGGACGGTAGCTCCAAATGACAATGAAGGTTCACACCTGAATATTTGCTGATAAATACATGTAGTGTTATTTTCAATCATGTGTATATCAAATGTAAACTCGAAACAAAACACTCTGAAATATCATATAAAAAGATTTTTTTCGAATCGTGAATAATAATTGCGTAGTTGTATGCATAACTGGTGCGTAGTGGTCATAAATGCAGAACAGAAATTCGCGCATAAAATAGCAGAGTATAATTCGTAGTGGTTGCGATCTCTGAATTTATAGCATCATGCCAATCATACCCAACATATGTGTTAATACCAATATATATGTTACTAATCTAGCTATAGGTAATGCCCTGCAACACAAATGTTGTAGCGCACTATGGTGCATGTCCTGTAACAATTTATAACATGCCACGGCACCCGTAAACTATAATTAAAATGAGCACTCTTTGTAACTAGTATCATGCAATCATACGGCAACGTTGGCCCAACGTCATGCAGCCAACCACTTGCCAACCATGACCATGCCAACCATACACCAACGTTGCCGCAACGTCATGCAGCCACCACTTGCCAACCATGACGATGCCAACCATACACCAACTGTGGCCGCAACGTCATGCAGCCAACCATTTGCAACGGTGACCATGCCAACCTATCACGCCAACGTTGGCCCAACGTCATGCAGCGCAACCACTTGCGCCAACTATGACCATGCCAACCATACACCAACGTTGGCCCAACGTCATGCAGCCAACCATTTGCCAACCGTGACCATGCCACCCATTCGCCAACGTTGTCCCAACGTCATGCAGCCAACCGTGACCATGCCGACCATACGACAACGTTGGCCCAACGTCATGCAGACACCATTTGCCAACCGTGACCATGCCGACCATACGGCAACGTTGGCCCAACGTCATGCAGCCAACCAGTTTGCCACGTGACCATGCCGACCATATGCCAACGTTGGCCCAACGCCTAATGCAGCCAACCACTTGCCAACCGTGACCATGCCACGATACACCAACGTTGGTCCAACGTCCATACAGCCAACCAGCTGCCAAACTAGCATCATGCCAACCATATGCCAACGTTGGCCCACGTCATGCAGCCACCATTTTGCCAACTAGCATCATGCCAACCATACGCCAACGTTGGCCAACGTTATGTAGCCAAAGACTGGCCAACTAGCATTGTGCCAACCATACGCCAACGTTGGCTCCAACGTCATGGCAGCCAACCATTTCCAACTAGGGCATCATGCCAACCATACGCCAACGTTGGCCCAACGGCATGCAGCAACCACCTGCCAACCGTGACCATGCAACCATACGCCAACGTTGGCCAAACGTCATATTGCAACCCACATGCCAACCATGACCGTGCCAACGTTGGCCACACGTTGGCCCAACGTCATATGCCAACGCGTGACCGTGCAACCAAATGCCAACGTTGGCCCAACGTAAGCATGCTATTGGGAAGTCCTTAAATTTCATGAAATGTCCTTGAAATTTTAGAAGAATCTTGCCTGTAATAAAAGAAATTTTGTACAATCATTAATGTGGCAACCTCATAAAATAGTGTTAATTAGCTTAAAAAGCTATAGACACGATAGACAGTTAAATGATGATCTCAAATAACAGTAAGTCAGTCAAATCAGTCAGTAAATTCCGAGAGAGACGATACAAGATGGCTTGCGCAAAAGATGCGTTGTTCCCCGACCGCCGAAAGCGGTTAAGGCCGCGCACTCCGCGGGACTGGGCGCACGCGGCCGCGGGATGTTATGCGTAAGCTCCCCGCGTATACGCATTCCGCGCCGAAGGAAGGCGGGCGCGCGACATGCGTATAGCGGGCAGCGTAACATCGCGAGTTTTCGGACAGTACATGGGCGTACCTCACCTGCCGTATTTTCGTACCTTATCTGCCGTTCTCCCACTATCTTTCTCTCTTTCCGCACTCCGCGAGTCTGTCTCTCTCTCTCTCTCGCTCTCGCTCGCTCTGCCGGACGCGGTTATGTGCATATATATATTGTGTGTCAGTGTTGCGGCGTGTTGTAGGATTAGCTACGTGTAAAACTCCACGGCGACGCCAGCACGTGCTCGACAGACGTGCGTCGCCACGGGCACGGCGGTCAGAGGACATATCAAATTCCATATTGCATATCGCTTGCGATCTTACTATCGCGAACTCGAAGGAATTCCTAGTGTAAAACTCCATCAATCAGTCAGGCCTGCGGAGAACTAAGATGGCTGGTGGCTACGTCACGACTCCAGCTAGACTCGACGGGCCTTAACTCGGCCAAGTATCTTTCGCTACACTAAAGTTATAGTTATGTGAGCGTGTCAAACTCTCCACCGCGGGGCAGTCCTAAGGAAAATTCTCTGGAAAATCCCTCGAAGAGAGCCTCGTCGCGCCATCTATGGGACGCGATATTGTACGAGAATAAGTTCAGGCGCGTTATAATAAATAATGAGAAATCGCTTTTATTAGACGAAAACGTAACGCGCCAACCAAAAAATTTGCAATTACGACAATTGGTTTATTCTCGCCCTACTGCAGAGTCGAAAGCTTCTGCAATCGCCAGAACTGCTCAATGACGCATTATCGGGCTTTCTGTAGTACCCAGAGGGCTTCGAGTAGTTAGTTCTTACATACAGGGCAGCGAAATTGTCTTCAAAGAGGCACACGAGGTGGCGCTGTTCGCGCTTTACGCGCGTATATCCGGGCTGCAGATCGTCAAGGTATGTTGTAGAAGTGACAGTGTTTAGAAGGGTTTATTGAATGTGATCCAGGTAGTTTTAGAGGTGACAATGATTAAGAATGGGGTTATTATTAAATTAATCAGGTATGTTTTATTCTGTGTATGAATTCCGATAAAATGTCCTTGAATTTTCGATAAAATGTCCTTCGAATTTTCGATAAAATGTCCTTGAAAAGTCCTTGAACGTAAATTCAGTCCTGTTTTTTTCCCATGTTTAAAATGCTTACTAGTTCATACGGGATCATTGCATATCACTGCGGTTTATCACTGGCACCTAACTGACCAGAAGAATGGTTCTGTTGGAATGACCTTTAGTCTGAATGTAAGTTTTATAGGTACTCACTGGGGACCTGGATGAATGGATGGTTCCTCATTGTGAACATTTGTCAGCCAATTTTCGAAAATAATGGCTATTTGCAAATGCATAGTAGCTTATCAACCTATCCATCTCAGCGAGATAACCACTACCCTTTGGATGTTGTTGATAGATCGGTCAGGTTCACTCAGTTTAAGCGTGTTTTGTACACGTGCATTCAAAACTATTGGGTTTGCAGCATTTTGTGACCAAAATTTGTTTTTTATAAATGCCGCTATTGCAACACTGATCGGCTAGACTTGCCTGACAATTACGTCAGGCAAATAGGTATGCCATTAATATGTGGTTTTGTGTTTGCTTCTGGGCAGAGCTCCGTTTGATCAGCAGCAATTCGAGGAAGCGGGTAGATTATTTGAGGGCGAACATGATTTCGCGACATTCTGCAAAACTTCCAAACTCAGGCCAGGTTATGCGGCACCTCCTACAGTCAAGACCATTCACAAGTAGGTCATCATTAGATGTCAACAAGTAACACAAGTGTTAGCAAATTTAGGCTATTCATTCACTGCTTATATTTTGAAATGCTTGTGATGTTAATTAAAATGTATTTACCATATAAGCAGGAGCACAAACCCGGATAGACCATTAATTTTAAGTTAATTACAGTATCTCGCATATTGCAAAAAAACATCTAAAATTATACTATTTCATGTTCTTATTTCATCGTGGATGAGTTACCAACGATGTGTTGCGTGGGGTGTTGTGTGTCACAAGTTCTCGTTCTAGCAGTATCGACGGTGAGAAGTGTAACTATAGTTAGTTAGCTATGATAAAACTAACCGAGGCTTACAATAAAAAAAGCTGGGTTGACTTTGCATCACACGCGATGACTATATTGTAGGATGGAGGTGGTGCCGGGTGTACCGATGCTAGGAGAACATGACAGCGTAGCTCCACTTTACAACTTCATCAATGTATTATGCACCGGAACTGGCTTTGTTCGACATCAGGCGAGTAGTATACATGAGATCGATGTAAACAGAGTCAGTAGCCATAGAAATATCAATAGCAGCAATACAATAAGTTTAAAGCATACATCCATACTATAGACTATAAATATACCATACTATACCATATCAACAAATAATTATAGTTCAGATGTGTAATTAGTGGAAACAGCAGTGGCAGAACAGGAGTACTAGTAGGAGTAGCAACAACATCGATGGCTGCAGTATCAGTAGGACAAGCGCCAGCAGGAATGTTTGTTGCAGGACTGCAGCAGTCTTATAGGCAGTACGCCAACTTACATTCAACTGATATAGTGAATAGTCTATAGTGTCGCAATTTTATGTATATGCTTGCCCTGCTGGTTTTTAGATTCGTAGAATGCTTGGAGCAATGGTAGCCGTGGGATGCGGGAGGCTGACGCTTGATCAAGTCAGATACATGCTGGAGCAGCCCGATCCACAAAATTGGCATTCAAAGGCTGTGTGCATGGCACCTAGTGGCCTGTACCTAAAACAGATATACTATGATGAAAAAGGTAGGTGTGCACTTGCCCCAGTAACACACTAAGGTGGGACAACAAAGAATTGCAATATCCCTAGTAAAAAACCAACCCAGCATTGTAGATGGTTGCGAATTGGAACGTTTGTACCCTAGTTTTACGGACGTTCTGTTGTCGAGTTTAAAGGGGGAAATCTACCCAGAGAACCAGGTGAATTGCTAACTGGCTAAAGTCATACGTTTGAGCATTATGAGGAAATTAGTATAGAGATGGTTTCACTTAAATAACAGCGACTCAAGATAAATCCCAGGGGGCCGTTGTCAGAAACAAAATTAGTCGCAACATTAGTCTTACCATTAACTTCCACTCGTAAACCGTTGACAGAAACATCGTAAGGTTACGAGAACGAAAAATCCTCGCAAATATCCTCATAACATTACGAGAGCTCAGACCCTCTCGTAACTTTAATATTAAGTTGAAAATAACACATTTACACTACAAATTACAATTATAGTGATATTATATTTTATAATAATGAATAAAATGTGTGTTTTTCTTGAAAAACACGTCAAAATCATTAATTATCTACCGCTAATAAAACAAAACAAGAGCCGCAGAGCGTCTGGGCTCATCTGAGGTCTGTTGCTACGATTATAAACGTAAAATTTCAGTCGTGCGTAGTACCACATTTGTTAGGCGCAGATATGCAGACACGCAGTTGCGTACACATCATTGTTAGGACACGCCCACTATCGCAGATGGAGGGTGGGGGAAGGGGCGGGGGAGGGGTGGGGGAAGGGGCGGGGGAGGGTGGGGGGAGGAGGCTCTAATAGCAAAAGCAGTTCACTCCATTGTTAACAGTCAACAAATCCATGTTTAACCCTCCTCTTGAGGGTCAAAAGGTTATCAGACACTTACTCTTCGCACGTCAGTGGAAAGCAGATTTCATGGTCCTTTCAATAAAGCCATAAAAATGATAGGTCACCGCTGAAACAAAAAAGTTTTTCAATCGCTCCGTCAGACCATGTCCTCAGAAAATGTCTAAAATCTGCCCTGTGCCCATTGACCTGTGACCTCCAATTTCGGCACAGTGATGGCTTTTCCTACCATGATGCTATACACCGACTATCACGAGCCTAGGTCGAGCCGTTTAGATTTGTGCCGCAATTCTGCATTTCCTCCCTATACCTTAAGTTAAGGAGTGAATGTTCCCCCTTCTTTTACACCTCTTGACCTTTGACCTTTGACCCCCAGCTTCGACATCCCAACTCGTTTCGGATTACCCCCCCACGTCCCGAATATCGTGACCGTACGTCGAGCGGTTAAGATTTGTGCCCAACTGTTGACGGACGGACGCACGCACGGATGCACGGACGGACGATCATGCGATTCTACAAGCTGCATCTGACTATGTCAGATGAGCTAACAATACATTTACAAATGGCGTATGGCATTTGTTCTCTTGTTCTAAAGGTTTTCCACGCTTGCCACGATTCTCGCGTCTCGCGTTACAGTGTGAGAATTTGTCTTGTTGTGCAGAATTAATTCATGACCACGTCGTTTTTTATCAAATATTATTTATATGTGGTTAGCCATCATAATATGCATAAATTACTGTGATGTACAATAAATGTGTATGAATTTGAATTTTGTGATTGATTCTCATCCAATCAGCAGCCTTGTGATGAAGTTCCTGGTTTCAGACAACGGGCCCCTGGTGTCCATAATCAACAGGTTTCCATTCAATGTCTATGGTTTCACTCGAGACCCAACTAACTGTCACTTTATTGACAGGTGTCCGTTCCATAGAAGGTACTGCTGACACAGGTTTAAATGTACAAAGGGGAACGCATTCTAATATCCTACTCATTCTTTTCTCCTGCAGATTTTGAGAATCCATCGCCGATTGTCTCGAGTCATCCGTACAAGAATTTTGACGTGGGCATCATCAGAACACAGAATGCAACCAGTGAAATCTCTTGACAGTAGAATTGTCTATGTAATTGTAAAAACGACCAACCTCAGAACCGAGTGGTGCTATATTAATAGAAATAACGGAAAGCTATAGTCATATCCTGTCTTTATTGTCGATCGATTCCTGAAATCAGTCAATGATTTCAACTTTCATGATTGTGAAAAGAGTTTATGATTGGTAATCATAACTATTATTATTGTAACAATTGTTATTGTAATAATTATAATATTGCATAATAATTAGATGTATAAAAGTAATAAACGTGCACTCCGTTTATTAGCACCTAAAAATATTTGACAGCAGCTTATGTCATAACTTTAAATACTATAGCATATAATTATATTTAAGATTCCAACGATTTGATTGAGCAGTCAATAACCAGACGGTTGGAATTATGAAATAGAGCAATTGACCACAATGTCAGGAATAGCTGACTTGGAATGCTTGCTATATAATCACTTACTGAACCTGGCAACACAAACTATGCTTTACAAATCCTGTGCAGGTTGTGCATATAGTACACGGACTTCACGCAAAGTGTAAACTACTGATGTTAATAAAAAATCGTCAACAATTATACAACGACACTGTAGACAACATACAAAGTCTTATATTGCAGAGTCCGTTTCACATTCTGATTAGTATATTCACTGGCCCCCACCACCTGGACATTATAGTAGAGAACACTGCTTCTCCCAGTGTCGCTGGGATATTTCCTCTATTTATGGATAGAAGTTGTATTGCTTACCATCATAAAGAATTTTGTGTGACAAAACCAGTAAATGGTATACGTATATTTCATTAAACCTACAAAATCTCAAACCTTTTCAGTAAAAGATGAAGGGTGGAAATAAAAGTCAAAAGTTGAGGGCACAACTAAATATTACAGACAAATTTCAGTGTTAAGATCGAGGGGATGGAGGTTTTGTGGCGGCTAGATGAGTGGGATGAGGGGGGTCACGTCACGTATGCCGCGCAATGTCCCTAATGCTCTTGACCTTGACCGCATCCGTGACCTTGTGTGTGTATTCTGGCAGAGAGATGGCGCCACCCATCGACACACGCGAGTTACGGTAGATCATAGCGGAATCAAATGACTTGCGCGCAGAGCAGTGGAACTCTGTAGTGCAGCTTCCCTCCAGAATACGCTCTATGTTGCGCTCGGATATGCCACCAGCTGCACCGGAAAAACAACGGAATTCACATTTAGATTTGGCAGACACATTAATTATGAGAAAACAATAACATTTGTATTTGGGTTTAGGAAGTATAGACTAAGGTAAAATAACAAAGTTTGTATTAAGATTTAGCAGTGACATCATTGTTCAATAGCTCAGTCCTCATATTCTCATAAGCCATTATTGCACAAATAATTATAATAAACTCATAAATGTGCTTTCAGACATGGCGATTTACTCGTCTCACTATTCACGTAGTCACAATACACGCTAACCATACATGCACGTCTACTCGACTCTTCCCAGCAACAAGAACTTTCACTTTCACTACCTGGAATCAGCTGGTTACGTGACCAGTGAAACAATTGGTTCATAACCCGGTCAGCGCGCATAGCTTTACACTATGGAACATAAGGTACATGAAAACAGGGGAATTTTTTTATCAAGATTTGGCAGCGACATAGACGATAGATTACATAAAAAACAGCAAAATTTAAAATAAGAATTGGCCGAGACATAGAATACGATAAAACTACAAAATTTGTATTCCGACTCCGTAGAAGCATCTCACCGGGTATGACAAGAATGCGGTCAGCAGCCAGCTGCACCATGTCACGTATGACGGGCAGTCCGTCCAGCGCACTTGTGTCTTGACCGCTAGTCAGCACACGCTCGAAGCCCAGATTGATCAACACACCAAGGGCATCCTTCCAGTTCGACGTCAGATCGAACGCTACAAGACGAACGCGCAGACGTGTGCTTCAATGCAATCGACCAGCCTTCGTTCTAGTGACTGTTGGTGATTTCATATTTTGATTGATCATAAAATATGACTACTCTTGAAAATGCAGAATTGTTATTTATTTTACATTTTTGTTGTTAGGCGCCACTCTTGCTTCTTGCTTAAAACAGGGTTCATAGTAGTAAGACACATGTTGAAATAAGGACTTATAAGACCCTTTCTGGAAGCCAAAATAAGACTTTTTTACGTGATTTCTGATAGATCACCGACTATTAAAGTACACTAATAATATTTATATACACAGTTGCACAGCAGATTTAATTATTGCGAGATAACCTTTGACCCGGTACACAGCTACATACCGGCATACAGCAGCCCCCACTGCACATACTGGCATGCCACCACGCACGCACGCCAACCGCAATTAGCAGCAGCTGATTGGGCTCAAATCTCCCAGCGAGCCACATTGCCCGCCGAGTTAGCAATAGCGCGTTAGTAGTTGCCTTTTGTTTGAATATAGGCGGGCAATCGGCTTGGATTGATGGTCAAAGAATGGATAATCGTGTCGTACGTTTTAGTCTGTATCTCCGGATTGCTTGTGTAAACGAGGAAACGATTTCGCACGATGTTAGGCGAATGTACTGTGTACGATTTGAGCTCAAGTTGGATGAGTTACGCGTAGTAAATCATAGAGATTATAAGGCTAGTAAATGACGAATTTCCCTTGTTTATTGATGTCACACTCCTTCCCTATTATCTACTCCTGATAATTTCGAACCATGGCGCCAGATAACAAATTTTGTGTTAGACATATTTTTTGTAGGTTTATCATTGGTAATTATCTAGCTGCACATTTTATTTATGTACTTTCCTTTGTAAGGTATGCTTTCGTAATTATAAAAATAAACTGTTATAAAAATTCTATCGTGTGTGTATGACTTATATCATGTTATATGCACACTGCATACTGACTAGCTGCAAGGGTAGAATGCCTACTGTTGAGTGATGAGTCAGGGTGGTTGAGTCATCCTTAATTGCATTTTTTATTTATAGTGGGCTGCAGAATCAGGGAAGTGCTAGGAAGACTATCCATGGCACATTGAAGGTAAGAATCCTGCTAATAAACGACTCAGCATTCATCTGTAGACTCGTCCTGTTGTGGAGTATTGTGTAACTTGGATAAATTTGGCTGTACATTTATAATATTTGTTGTAGTTTAATCGTGAGCCCAAGAATAAAATGGATGCCTGTCTATAAACAACACTTGGAATTTCCCTTGCATGCCAGTTATACAGTGAAACCATATCTATAGAACAAACACCTCTCTATTGGGGACACGTTTGGCAGTTCCCTCAAGTGGCCTTTATACACATTTTACATTTTTTTACACGTATTTTCTGGAAACGTTTTAGGCAGAATGTGACAGTTGCTAGTCCACCTATGTTTTTGCTGATTCTAACAAACGTGTGTTATTCTAAATTAATTTATTCTATAATTATGTGCAGGCCGCGATAGAAGCGCTAAAACCGAAGGCTGAGGTGCGGCTCGTCACCTGCAGCCGGACAGACGCTGGCGTTCATGCCATGTGCAACACTGCTCATGTTGACTTGGAGCGAGACAAGCCAGGTGGCACCATATTCCGGCCCGGCGACGTCACGCGGAATGTCAATCTGCGACTTCTTCGAGCCGGTGAGGACATAAGGTAGTACGATTCGCGGCCGACTCGCGCATCTTTCACTCGTAGCAATGAACTCCCAGAGTGGTGATAACGATGCAGACTACAGTGTCGCATGTCACGCCAGCAGGAGTGCATTCGTGCATCGCATAGAACTCAGAACTGCAGCAGCTAACACAATCTAGATGATGTATGGTTTAGTCATAAAATGCCTGTTTAGTTTTGTTGTTTTAGTCACCAGCAAATAATAAGTGTGTTACAGTATACTGAGTATAAACGTTCTGGGGACGTGAAACCATAACCTGTAGTAGAGCATATATATAATTTTCTTCGGTGTTCTAATGTCTGGCTTAAAATGAGAGATGTCTACTTCGTGTAAAGCCCGGCGCACACGTGAGTTATTTTACTCAAGTAAAATGACGCATGAGTCATTTTACTCACGTGTGCGGCAGATTTTCGTTGAGTAATTTGACGCATGCGTCATTTTACTCACGTGTGTGGCGGATTTTCGTTGAGTAATTTGACTCGTGCGTCATTTTACTTGAGTAAAATAACTCACGTGTGCGTCGGGCTTAAACTCTACTGTAAGGCATATAGTGGGTGTATGATTGTAAACTAATTTTTGCTATAGTATATCTGATGACAAATTTGTTACTTTTTACTGAAAACCTTTGCGAAATAGCCAATCATATTGTACAAAATATCAGGAGTTAATAAAAACACATTTTTAAAGTTTGGTTTTATTCGCTCCTGAAAACATGATAAACACATAGTTTTATAGACTAAAGTAGGAGTGAAGTGAAATTGCCAATGCGTCTGGGTATACACAAACATTTACCAGAACAGTATAGGTGCAGTTAATTGGCTGTTTCAGAATTCTTAAAACAAGGATCGTGAATGATAGATTTCACTGCCGAGTTCATGCCAAGGGAAAGACTTATCTATACCGACTGGCTGTCCTGAAGGATGAGGAGTACCTTTCTTCGGTTGCAGTAGAACATGGGCGCGTGGGCGCACTATACAATGCCATGTTCCCGATATTTGAGCTTGGAAAGTGCACACCTGTGAAAATGTGAGTATTGAGCACTTGGCAATCAGCCATGTTATTCAGTTGGCTGTGCGCATCATTCTGTGATAAGTCAATGATTATAGGTGCTTACTTGTTGTGCAGCTCATTCACATGCTCCTGGATTTAGTGGCACTCATTAGCATCAACATATTTAACATTGTTCGCACAGTCCTTGAAAAGTCCTTGAATTTGAGGGGAGTCCTTGAAAAGTACTTGAATTTAGTAATGTTGATTTTATGCTTTGAACCAGATAACATGCTGACGTTGGGCACGTTTGGCACGGCTGTCTTAGCCCATGCCAACGTTGGGCCACGTTGACGCTTGCCAACGTTGGCCCAACGGATTTTGCTCGTTGACGGCGTGGACCGTTATGGCCAACGTTGGAAGCGACGTTGGCCAACGTTGTGGCCATCGTTGCGCAACGTGACCCACGTCATATTGCCAAAGTTGGCCCAACGTCATATTGCCAACGTTGGCCAAGTCATATTGCCAAGTTGGCCCAACGTATATTGCCAAACGTTGGCCAACGTCATATTTGCCAACGGTGGCCAACGGCATATTGCCAACGTTGCCAACGTCATACTGCCAACGGTTGGCGCAAGTCGATACTGCTACGATTTGCCAACGTCATAAACTGCAACGTTAGGCCCAACGACATATTGCAATCGTTGGCCAACGTCATATTATGCCAACAGTTGGACCAACGTCAGATTGCCACGTTGCGGCCAATGTCATATGCACGTTGGCCACGTCATTTGCCACGTTGGCCAACGGGCTTTTTGCTCAGCGTGCCTATACGTTAGTTTCCCCCTCAAACACTCCTTCTTTGGTTCTCTCTCTCTCTCTCTCTTCTTGCTCTCACACACCACACACACACACACCAACACACCGCGCAACCTCTGTCGCTTCTCTCTCTCTCGCTGCACATCACACTCCCTCTCTGGTTCACTCTCTCACTACACAACCACCTGCGCGACACCTCTCTCTCTCTCAATTCTCTCTCTGACACATACACCTCCCTCTGCTGGTTCTCTCACTCTCTCTCCATGTCACAACACACACGAAAAATAAACACAACACCTCTCTCTCTCTCTCTTCTGACATTTATCCATTTTTGGCTCGCTGCTCTCTTCTCTCTCACACAACCACACATACACAACACCTCTCTCAGACAATACACACTCCTTCTGTTCTCTCTCTACTCTTCTAACCACACCAGCAACGCGCCAGCGCACAACCACTCTTCTCTCTCTCTCTGAACATACATTCCCTCTGGTTCTTCCTGTAACAACACAAACAAACGACGCACACCTCTCTCACACACACGACACGCAACACACCACCACACACACACACACACACACACCAACACAACACAACACACGACGCACAACCAACACAAACACGGCACAAGCTCTCTCTCTCTCTCTCTCTCTCTCTCTCACACACATTACACACGGCGCAGCCCCTCTCTCTCTTCTCTCTCTCTCTCACACACACACACCGCGCGCACACTTCTTGGTTTCTGCTATTTCTCTCTCTGGGTACACACACACAACACAAGACGAGCACCTCTCTCTCTCTCGCTCTCTCTGTCTCTCTCTCTCTCACACACACACACAACACCTTCTCTCTCGACACATACACACTCCCTCTCAGGTTCTCTCTCTCTATCTCTCTAGACAAATAACACTCCCTCTCAGTTCGCTCTCTCTCTCTCAGACCATAACCTCCCTCTCAGGTTCTCGCTCTCCTCACACACATAAACACTGCGCGCGCACACACCTCTCTTCTCATCTGAAATACACGACTTCTTTGGTTCCTCTCTCTCGTCACACACACACAGAAACACGCACACCTCTCTCTCGACCCACACACGAGCGCGCGGCGCGCACACAGCACACGCACCACCTCTCTTCTCTCTGATAACATACGACCACGCTCCTCGTCTGGGCTTCTCTCTCTCTCACAACCACAGGACGCACGCAGCGACCACCTTCTCTCTCCTACTCTGAAAATTACACCCTCCTCCCTGGGTCTCTCTCTCTCTCTCTCTCACAACAACGCCACGAGCGCAACCCTCTCTCTCTCATCTCTCTCTCTCTCTGACACAGTACACCTCCCTCCCTTGGTTCTCTCTCTCCACACACACACCCGACGCGCGCACACCTCACGCTCTCTCACACACACCACCACGCCAGCGCACACCGTTCTCTTCTCTCTCTCTCTTCTCTCTCTCATCTCTCT